AGTCCCCAGCTGGCTGGGCCCTGCGCTGCCCCTGGCAGCCGCTGCTGAGACATTTCAAGGAGCAACGCCGCCCAGCTGATCCCCAGCTGCAGCTTTGGTACCCTCTCTCCTGCCCCCCCCCTTTGCGTCCTTCCCCTGGCACAGGGATAGAGGCAGCAAGAGTGGAGGAAGCAGCTAGTCCACTGACTCTCCAATAAATATGTGTGTGGGGCAGCGTGTCCCGATTTTATTTGGCCGAGGAACCCTTCTCAGAATTTCAAGGAACCCCTAGGCTTGTCACGCAAAAAAAAAGGGGGGGGAGAGGGACCCACCAGTTCATGAAAATCCCCACAAATGCATGAAAATCACATTCCTTCCCCAAGACCCCCACCCCCGTTTGTTGAGGCATGATCTGCTCTGTTCCCCTCCTCTCCATCACTTGCTGTCCCCAGCCCTTATACGCTCTCTCTAGGTTGACAGAGGAGGTGTGGGGTGGGAATGAGGGATTTGGGTGTGGGAAGGGATGAGAAGTACAAGCTCTGGGAGGGAATTTGGATGCAGGAGAAGGGGATGTTGGCTTGAAGAGGGGGCTCCAGGCTCGGGAGTGTTGGGCTCAGGTGGAAGGTTGGGGTGCAGAGCAAGCCATAGGCCTGTGGATGTTGAGGGTGCAGGAGTTTGGGCTGGATATGTGAGGGACTCAGGGCAAGAAGGTTGTGAGTATGATGGGCTCAGGACACAGATTTGGGGTCAGGTGGTGCAGGAGTGTTATGATGCTGCAGTGAGATGGGGGTTTGGCCCCCTTTGGGGGCTTGTTGGCCAGGCTTCATTTTTAAATAAATATGTCAGACTCAAAAAGTTTTAGTATTGTCTCTATTTATGAGAGGGGTGAGGAACCTGTTTTGAGTCAAGGGTCACTGACCCACAGAAAAGTCTGTTGGGGCCACACAAGTGAGATTCAAAAAAAACCCCAACAACCCTCCAAAGACCCCTAAGCCTCACTAATGTGGTTCCAAATGTACTGGTGGGAGTTCTCATGTATGAAATCAGGACTTCTTGCGCAAGAAATATGATGCTTCTACTCAGGAATAAGCCCTTTTGTGCAACTGTTCTTGCGCAAGAGGCCAGTGTAGACAGGCAACATGAATTTCTTGCACAAGAAAGCCCTATGGCTAAAATGGCCATCGGCACTTTCTCGGGCAAGAGAGCATCCACACTGCCATAGATGTTCTTGTGCAAAAGCACAGCTTGCACATGGCAGTGTGGACGTGTTCTTGCACAAGAACTCTTG